GAGTCAAAATATTATTTATGACTTGGGTTTGTATAATATATTATATATTTTATTTATTTATTAGGAATTAATTTCGTACCGCGTACATAATTAATAGAATAAGCAATTGAAAGTTTATTATCGTTGGTATGCATTTCTCGTGCAACGCACTGTCACGACCCAATTCCCATCCCCGGTCGTGATGGCGTGTCAAGACCCAAAATCCACTAAGGGTCGTGATGGCGCGGGACACCGCTGTCAGGCAAGCCAACTAAATTATCAATTAAATTCTCTTTTAATACCTTTGAAAATCTAGGATTTTTCCTTCCATTTTTCATAATTAAAAGAATCTCTACTTCAATTCAAATTAAGTAATAACTATTAGTACACATCTTTCAAAAAACCATCCCAGAACCCGGTGTCACAAGTGCATGAGCATCTATTGATAAGGAAAATAAAATACAATATCTGTCCGAAATACAGTGGACAGGGAATAAATATAAAATGCTGAAAGGAACTACACTAGCTGAGGGTCGCCTCGAACAATGCAGCTCACCTAGTTCCAGAATCATCCGCGCTGCTACGCCCAGTAGGCCGCTAGAGGTATATATACCTGTGCAACAAAAATGCACAGAAGTGTAGTATGAGTACGTAAACAACGTATACTCAATGAGTATCCCGCCTAATCTCGAAGAAGTAGAGACGAGATGGTCAACTTGGACACTTACTAGAGGTCATTTGACAATATACTAAAAATGTGAGGAAATCATGGATTCATATAGCAGTTTTAATTCACGAAGCCAGAAAACAGATAAACACCTTCAACCAATAATCAAGGATTTTCAAGATTTACTCTTTATTATCTTATTAATTCATATCAAGCCACGAAGGGCAAATTTCACATTGAAAGTCCTCAAGCAACAATATAACATGCGCAAATAACACCGAGGCGACGGCCCGATCAAACAGAAATAAATTGTGCACTTGCCGAGGGTCGACGGCGCGCCTATATATGCATATATTTAATCTGCCGAGGCGTTCGGCCCGTTCCAAAATAAACACATAGAGACATTCAGTCAGGAAGCCAACATGGGGCAATTATTCAAAGAAGAACAAATTCTCTTTTAACGAATTACGAAAATGAGGTTTAGATCTTATTAGAAATTCATTTACCATTTGATGTGGTTTAGGCAAGTCAACTGTCCATAAGATTACAAATATTCAAAATATAGCATGCTTTTGGGTCCTAGACTACCCGGACAATAGCATAATAGTAGCTACGCACGGACTCTCGTCACCTCGTGCGTACGTAGCCCCCACAAATAGGAGCACGTAACCAATTAACTCACTTATGGGGACAATTCCCTCTTACAAGGTTAGAAAGGAGACTCACCTCGCTCCGAAGACTCATAACCGGCATTCTACATTCCTCCGAAGACTTGCACCAACTCACAACGCTCCAAAACTATCCAATGATTATACAAATCCATTAATATATGCTCAATTAAACTTTACAACCCCATTTGTAACAATTCCTAACCCCGAACGAAAAGTTGCCCAAAACGCCCTCGGGCCCACGTGCCTGGAATCCGAAATTTTTCGAAGATATACTCTACCTATTGCTTAACTAGCTCAAATATATAATTTACTCCTAATTCCATGCTCAAATTCATGGTAAAATCCAATTTATCAAGTTTCTAGGTTTTCTTCCAAAAGTCCCAATTTCCCCACAATTTGTATGTCTAATTCCATGATATAATCTTGTATTTAACTTGGAAATGAGTGGGAATAACTTACCTTAACATAGGTGACGAAATCCTTCTTTGAAGCTCTCCAAAAATTGCCCCAATCCATGAAAATTATGAGAGAAATGGCCAAATCCCGATTTAAAATAACCTTCTGCCTCCAGGGATTTCCGCTTCTGCGGAATTATTTCCGCCTATGCGGTTCCGCTTTTGCGGTCAAAGATGTCGCTTCTGCGGTCCTGGGCTCCAGCCCAATTTCCGCTTCTGCGGACGGCCCACCGCATATGCGGTTCCGCTTTTGCGGATCTTGGGCCGCTTCTGCGGTCCTGGGCTTCTCAACCTCCAGCCGCTTATGCGGGGCCGCTTTTGCGGGGCCGCATCTGCGGTCCCAAATCCGCAGAAGCGGAAATACCAGAAGCAGCAGCCCCAACCCCTTCTTCAAACTCCAGACTCGATCCGTTAACCATCCGGAATCCACCCGAGGCCCCCGGGACCTCAACCAAACCTACCAACCAATCCCAAAACACGTTACGGACTTGCTCGAGGCCTCGAATCACATCAAACAACGCTAAAATCATGAATTACACCCCGATTCAAGCTTTATGAACATTAGAACTCCAAACTTCTATTTCCGGTGTTTAGACCTATCAAATCATGTCCGATTGACCTCAAATTTTGCGCACAAGTCATATTTGGCATTACGAACCTATTCCAACTTCCGGAATCGGATTCCGACCCCGATATCAAAAAGTCCACTTCCGGTCAAACTTCTCAAAAACCTTCAAATTTCTATCTTTAGCCAAATGTCTCCAAAATGACCTACGGGCCTCCGAATTCACTTCCGATCGCGCCCCCAACTCCAGAATCACCATACGGAACTATTCACAGTCTCGGAATCCCAAACGGACATTGATAACACTGAAGTGCACTTCAAACCAAACTTATGAAATTTCTTCCAAAATGCCAACTTCCACAATAGGCGCCAAAACACTCCCGGGTTATCCAAAACCCAATCCGGGCATACGCCCAAGTCCGAAATCATCATACGAACCTGTTGGAACCTTCAGATCCCGATTCCGAGGTCATTTACTCAAAATTCCAATCCTAGTTCATTCTTTCAACTTTAAGCTTCTGAAATGAGAATTCTCTTTCCAAATCAACTATGAACTTCCCAGAACTTAATTCCGATCACGCGTACAAGTCATAACACCTGAAATGAAGCTGCTCATGGCCTCAAGCTGCTGAACGGAGTGCTAGAACTCAAAACGACCGGTCGGGTCGTTACATGGAGCCTCTCATGAAGACAAGGCCAGCCAGATCAACAGAATCATTTCTTTAACCATTACTTAACATCTATAAATCCAAAACGCATAATAAACAGTAATAAAAAGGAATCAGCGACATTAGCAAAAGGGAACCATCCCGACACAGCCCGAATCGGGGTGTCACAAGTCATGAGCTACTATAGAGTTACTACAAGTACTAAGAAATAAGAAT